GACTCTCAACAGTCTTCTCTGGCATCACAATTTGAACCAGGCTGGGGAGATCATTAATAAACACTCTTTGCTATGAGTAAGATAGTGATGGTAATTATTTATAATCATTATGGCAGGCATTAATTGAGCACTTCCTTTGTATCAGATCCCACAAAAGTACACCTCTAAAAAAAAAGAAAAAGAAGGGTACCTCTCAGGTCCCCAACAGCAGAGGATCAATCTATGCTGCCCCGTTGTTAGAAAAATAGCGTTCACACACTTTGCCATTAAATCAAACAAGTAAGGCTGGTGGGGGTTCCATAAAGAATGTCTGGTCCCCAAATTGTGCCAATTTACCATTCCTCATTGCCTGCTTGGTTTAGGCATAACTGTCCCAGGAGAGATACGATGATCTCTGCTCCACTTTTTAGAGACACCTCATTTCGGTAAGGCTCTCGAACTGTGGGAGACATGCTCAGAAACATGAACAGAGAGAGACAGAAGCCCTGAGACCGGACAGCTCCCATGGGGCTGGGAGCCCCGAAGGCAGGTAGTAAGCAGACTGCACTCCTGCTGGGGCTGGGGCCCCTGACAGGATGCTGAGCCTCCAGGCAGGCTCGGAGAAGCCCACGCTCATCTCTCCAGCTCCAACCTCCGTTCTTCCCGGTTTCCTTTCCTCAGCAGGAAGTGGCCCAGAGTGGGGGCTCAGCTCTGGGCAATCAGGCATTTATGACTCGGCTGTTTCAGATTTCATCCAAGCATGTCCATCATCCCTTGCACGCTTTCTTCCCTGTTGATGAGTCTGATGGATTTGTGGTGAACCAGCAGCTCTGAAGTGCGGCACCCTCGAGTTTTCTGTTACCTGTGTCTGCCAGCTTTGACCAAATCATCACAGCTTAGCTGAGAAACACTTGTCAAAAAAAGTTTTGGAAGAAATTCGCTTTATTGTTTCTTGTAGTCATACAGGATATAGATTTACAGCAAAATACAATAAAACCACAAAATTCAGAGAAGTATAAAGCTCATTCATTATACTATAATCCAACACATCCACTGAAAACATTGAGGTCTTCATGAGATCAACATTACAAATGAAATTAAAGAAAACTTGCTAAGTACACTAATATAAATATGGATATCTAGGAATAATATGAGAAAGCATATGTAATAGCAATGCAGGGAAAAACTATAAAATGTGGTTACAGAGTAATTAAAGAAGAAAATTAACGGAAAGAAGTTCCAAGTTTGTGAACTGGAATTCTCAATATTACATGGATGTCATTTTCCCTCAACTAATTTATAGAATTCCAATCAAATGCCTCCCTGTATTTTGGGTGAAAATTCGCAAACTGAGTATAATATTAACATAGAAATAGAAAGAGCCAAGAGAAGACATTAGTTTGGATAGAACACAGTTTTCTACAAGACACTGAGAATTAATATCAGGCTACAGCAATTAGTATAGGTAGTATTAAACCAAGGACACAAAAATTGATCAACGGTATAACACAGGCTCACACACACATGACTCTGGACATATGTCTGAGGTGGTTCTGCAGAACAGTGGGGAAGGATGGTCCCTTCACCAAATGCCGCTGGAATATTTGGCATCCACATAGCAGAACTAGTATGCACCACCAACTCACCCCCATTTGTCTGTGTTTTGATATGATATTCATAAATTCATTGCCAAATCTATGTCATGAAGCTTTCTCCCTGTGTTTTCTTCTAGGAGTTTTACAGTTTCAGCTCTTATGTTTAGGTTTTTATCTCTTCTGAGTTGATATTTGTGCATGCTGAAGAAAAGGTGTGATTTTATCCTTTTGCATGTGGATATCCAATGTTCCCAGCTTGATTTATTGAAGAGACTGTCCTTTCCTCATTGTATATTCTTGACAACTTTGCCAAAGTGTAATTGAATGTGTAAACAAAACACTGACAATAGAAAAAAAATAGTCAAAAGGGAGCTAATCCAACTAAAAAGCTTCTGCCCAGCAAATGAAAAAAGACACAATGAAGTGAAAAGGTAACTGATGAAAAAGAATAGATATACATAGAGCTGAATCACTTTGCTGTACATTCAAACTAACACAAAATGTAAATGAACTATACCCCAATATAAAATAAAAATGAAAAACAGGTATAAAATGAAGGGAGAAAAGGGAATGGAAGTGGAGAAAATGGTTGCAAACCACTATCTGAAAAGGGGTTAGTGACAAAATAATGAGGGCCTTGGGCTTCCCAGGTGCCTCAGCTGATAAAGAACCTGCTTGCAGTGCGGGAGACCTGGGTTCGGTCCCTGAGTTGGCAAGATCCCCTGGAAAAGGAAAAGGCTACACACTCCAGTATTCTGGCCTGGAAGAGTCAGACATGACTGAGCGACTTTCACTTGGACAACTCACTAGCTAAAGGACAAATAACCTAACTATATGATGGACTAAGGATTGAATTTTTATTTTTCTAAAGAAGGTTTACAAATGGCCAACAGGTATATGAAAAGATGCTCATTGCTATTATTATTATTTTGGCCACACTGTGTAGCTTGCCTGATCTTGGTTGCCCAACCAGGGATTGAACCCTGGCCCCAACAGTGAGAGTGCCCGGTCCTAACCACTGGACCACCAGGGAATTCCCATACTCAATATTATGAATCATCTGGGAAATGGAAATCAAAATCATAAGGCATTGCTTTTACCTGTTAGCATAGCTATCACATGTGATAAAGGACACTGGTGATGGTGAGCATGTGGAGGGCCTGGAACTCTTGACCACTCTTGCTGAGAATGCAATTCAGTGTCGCCACTATGGAAACAGTATGAGAGTTCCTCAAGAATTAACAATATGATATGATATCTACCATATGATTCATGTGGCTCTTCAGTTAAGCAACTATTTAGCAATTCAGTTAATCGTAGGCCGTGACATTGACTGAGAAGAGGTGATGGCTGAGGATGAGCAGGATGGTGCCTCGCGTCATCATCACAGCTAGGATTTGCTGAAGAGCCCACACCTACCTTGAGGGTGGTGGCAGAGGTGCTTGTGTGGGTCTGGGTCACTCTAAGGAGCAGATGCCAATGTGAGATTAAATGCGGCAGATTGTTTTTTGGGGAAACACCCAGGTGAGAGACAATGATCAGGGCTCTTAAAGAAGCTGGGAAAGCTGACAGCCCTGATCTAATCTGACTCTGGGTGAAGAAGGCAAGAAGGAAGGACAGTTGGCTCTGCAGTCAAGACAAGGTCCAGCAAGGTGGTGGAGAGTCCTTTCGCCAATGTCCCATGTCGGAGCTTCCCCTGACTCTCAGGGCTGGGGCGGCCTGAGTGTCCTTGGCACCCGCGGTCATTGTCTGGGAGTTGCAGGTAGGCAGCGTGGCTTTGCTGTCAACATGGAGATGGGTCGGAGAGGGCAGCAGCTGGGACCCTCAGCCAAGTATGTTCCCTCCATTGAAGCTCTGCTAGATCCCTTCTCATGGTCCCCAAATGGGAAACAGAAAAATTCTGTGTACGAAGACACATGGAGAGCAGCGACAAAGAGCAGGAGCTTCACATGAAGAAGGACCAGAGTTCAACTTCACACCCTCATCTCTCACTCACCAGGGGACTCTGAGTGGCCACCTCTCAATGTACTATTATGAGAATCAAAGTAAAATTCATCTCACGGGAAGGCTGGAGGCCTCAAAGGAGGAACAGCAATATGGAGAAGCCAAAGGCTGTCATCCAGCCACTTAGGTGACCAGTGACTCAGGCGGTAAGAACATCTTGATCTTTTGTGCATCCTTATGGGAGTTTTTCTGGAACAGACTTTTGTAAATGACACGTTGGTTTTGGGACCAAGGCAGGGTGACAATGTAAGTTGGTAAGCCTGCTGTCTAACCCAGTGATTCATTCTGGGGCAGACACAGGTGTAATTCTACATTTTCTAGTAACCATGTTGAAAGAATACAAAGACCAAGATGAAATTCCATTTGGTTTACGTAGGACTTCTAGAAGTTGTTATTTCAACACACCATCAATATCATTTACTTCTAGGAATCAGGAGGTGTCACCGGCGCATCCCAGGTGCTCACTGGAGTCCCATCCAAGTTCTTGCAGCACGGGTACCTCAGCCAGACTCTAACCTCCTGTGCCAGCAGCCGCCACCTCTGTGGCTCTTCCAGCCACATTTCCAGTCGGGCCAGCCGGGTCCAGAATCACAGGCCTGGAAACAACAGTCAGAGAGGACAGGTGAGTACATGGGCTGCGTCTGGGGTGTTCAGAGCTCCCAGCAGGGCAAAATACCAGCCTGGGCAGACGGTGTCTGGGGGCAGCAGAAGGGCCCCATGTGACACCCCTCCCTGGGTTGTAACTTGGGTGCCCTGCCCTACAGTGGGCATTGAAAACGAGGTGAAGGGGGCTTGCATTTGGGCCGTGAGAGACCTGGTTTGAATCTCACCTCTGCTCTTTAGTAGTGGTGTGTCTTTGGGAAGGTCAGCTGAATCTCTAATCCTCAGTATCGTCATCATTGAAATGGGCAGATTTGAGCATCCCTCCCTCAAAGGATGTGGTATGAGGATCTAGAGAAGCACTTGGCATGCTCCCAACAGTAACTGAAACATAATAAGGCGTCCATACACGACAGGTTTAATAACCAAAATTCCACCACTCTATCAGAGTGTTTTTGTCTTACCTCCAGGAAGCAAGCTCTCACTTCCTGGAAGCAATTATTATTATTGCGGTAGCTATTGTTATGTCAGTAAAATTTCAGTTATTTCACTCATTTTCTGTGAAGCTTTGAACAAGCTCTTCTTTCTCCAAACTTCAGTTCATCTCTGGGATGGTTAGCACAGTGCCAGCCTCACAGGGTTGTAGGTTATTATTTAAATTTATTATTTGAATTGCATGGTAAGAGTAAAGCGCTCAGCATGATTGACAACAGCTGATGATCAAAAATTGGGAACCCTTCCTCCTCCTACATTTCCAGGGTGCCACGGCTGTAATCAGAGCTTCATTTATATGGGGATCTAAGCCATGTGAGGATAGAGTACCTGCGTTTTGCAAGTTGTCCTCTCAGGTATCATCTAATAGTAGGGTTTTCAAAGTCATAATACTTTTTCCAGTAGATGCAGAGGCCCCGATGCTTCAGGACTAACTCCAAAACAGTCCGAAATCCCTGAGCTGTGCTGAACTTTGGTTCTGAGCTTCCTTGTTCCCAGGCATAGACGGTCAGCAGCTCCAGGGCATACTGTGAGGTAGTTTTTTCCCATGTCTCTTCTTACACTAAGAGGAAAAAAATTAGAAACATGAATTTTTCAGCTTTCGTGTGAAGAATTAACGAGCTGATGCAAAGTTTCTCAAACTATTCCAGAAAAGTGAGAATAAAGAAATGATTTCAAACTCATTTTGTACCAAAACCAGACAAATACAGCACAAAAAAGAAAATGATAGGTCTGACGATCATAGATGGGAAAATCCTCCATAAAACACTAGCAAAGTAAATTCACCAATGTATTATAAGGTCATAGAGCATTATCAAGTTAGATATATTCCAGGGATGCAAGGATGCTTCAGTGTCAGAGATCAATCAGTTGATACATTTATATTAAGAAAATAAAGGATAAAAAGCATATGACCATTTCCCCAGATACAGAAAAAACATTGGAGAAAATTCAATAGCCATCTGTGATACAGACTCTTTCCAACGTGGGTATGGAGAGAACATAACTCAATATAAGCCATATATGACCAATGCACAGCTAAAATCACACTTGGTGGTGAAGGCTGAAAGCTTTTACTTCAAGATCGGAAACAAGACATATATGCCCTCTCTCCCCACATTCATCCAATATAGTATTAGAAGTCTGTTCATAGCAATCAGGCAGGAAAAAGAAACAAAATACATCCAGAGTAAAAAGGAGGACATTATACCATTGCTATTTGCAGATGACATAATATTATACATAGAAAACCCAAAAGACACCACCAAAAAACTTAAGATAACCAAAAGCTGAATGCAGGAATACAAAAATGTATTGTAGGATACAAAAATAATACACGGAAATCTGTTGTACCTCTATACACAAATAACAGACTATTGGAATGAGAAATTTAAAAACAATCCCATTTATAATTGCATCAAAAAGAATTTAAAAACTAGGAATACATTTAACCATAGAGGTGAAAGACCTGTACCCTGTAGTGTATAAGACTTTGATGAGAGAAACTGAAGATGACAAAAATAAATGGAAAGATATAGTGACGATGGATTTGAGGAATTAGTTGTTAAAATGTGCAAATTACCCAAACAAACCATATGCACATCATCATGGTACATGATTTAGTGTTGCTGGGCCATGTTACTCTTCACAAATGAGAAAACGGGAGGCACAAGAGGTTACTTCGTTTGCCCAAATTCAGACAGTCAGGAAGTGAACAGAAGAGTGTGTGTTGGGAGGTGGGGAGTAGGGGTTTAGCACTCATTAATTCATTGAATAATTACCCACTGAGCACCTATTATATGCCAGGCAATATTCTAAGTTCTGGGGCGACAGCAGTGAATAAAATATACAATATTATATTGTATATTTATACAATATATATAAATAAAATATATAAATCCCTTCTTTTGTGGACATTTTTAGTGGGGAGATCGACAATAAGCAAATAAGCTCATGCAAAGGCCCTGAGGCTGGAGTAGAGTTTCCTCCTTGGAGAACTAATGAAGGGGAGAGAACAGCCTGGGAGTGGTGGTGAGGGGGCAGAGACAGGGGTTCAGAGAGGTTGAGGGCAGATCCCGTGAGCCTCCCAAGATTACGGATGGTGCGGGGGAGGGTATGGGGGTCAGTGGAAGTTGATGATAGTGGGTATATTTTAGATACAGGACAAAGCCACTTGCAGACTGGTTGGATGGGTGTGTGTGTGCGTGTGGGTGTGTGAAAAAGATAAGAAAGACCCACGGTTCTGCCCAGCATAGCTGGAAGGATGGAGCCCTCCTTTCGTGATATGGGAAGACTAGAAGAATGAGATGTCCGCTGGCACCCGTCCCAGGCCTTACCTTTTTTGCCCCCTAACCTTCCCCCCTCCCTACAACCTCTACCCCTCCACCTTCTTCCTTTCATCCTTTCCTTCTTGTTTCCTGCCCTCTCCCCTCCTCCACGCCCTTCCCTCCTCTGTTGGTCTCCCTCCTGCCTCCTGCATCCTTTCTGATTCCTCCCCTCCTCCTTCCTCTCCTTCCTCTCCTCCCCACGCCCCTCCCTGCTCCTTGCCTCCCTCCACGCCACCCCTCCCTCCTCTCCCCCCTCACTCTCTCCCTTCCCCTCCTCGGCTCTGCCCAGATGGGGCCGGCCATACCATCAGGTACCAGTGCTTCACCAGGCGGATGAGGCTCTTCAGCTTGGCTGGACGCTCCTTCAGGAAGGCTCTCTGCAGCTCCGTGAAGCAGGGGGAGAACTCGCCTTCCTTCCCCAGTTTCTCACACTCTTGGATGAGCTGGACGTAGATTTGAGGGTCAGGTTTGTAATCTTCAGTCACCTGACCTATGGAGGAGACATCCAGAACTTTAAGGCATCAGCTCTTCTCTGAGGTTCTTTCATTCCCTCTGAGACAACAAGCTCACTGGCCTTGGGAGGCAGTGAGGAGGTCAGCAGGCCCAGAGCCAGGAGGCCTGTGGTCCATCCCCGGGCCTCCCTTCTCCCGTCTCCACTGCCGTCACCCATCGTCTCTCACCTGGACTCAGCAGAGGTGGTGGCACCCTCCTCCCTGGATCCTCCACAGCCCATACAGAGGCCTTGAAACCTGATCCTTCCACTTCTTGCTTCCCAGGACCTCTGGGTACCCAAGTCCTCACAGTGGCCCACGTGGATAGAGAGATCTGTCTCCTCCTTCGTCTTACCTCTTGCCTCAATCACTTTGCCACTGACTCCCCTGGTTGCTTCAAACATGCCACATTCATTCCTGTCTTTGCACCTGCTGTTTCCTCCTCTGGAATCCCAGATCTTTGAGTGCTTGGCCTCTTCTCATCCCTCAGGCATCAGGTCAGAGATCACTTCCCTTGTCGCCCTGTCTGTGAAAGTCCTCTGATCCCCACTCTCTCTTTTGGATCCCCATATTCAGTGTTTGTCAGAGAGAGTTATCTCATTGCTGGTGTTCATACTGTCAGGCTGCAGGAGAGAGGTTCCCCGTCTGTCTCATTTAGGCCACGCCTTGCGCCTCCAAGGTACACAGTGGGAACTGCGCCTCAGAGATGGATTGCTCCCTGCCCCAGTGATCCTGCAGATTGTCTATAGATGCCAACACTGAGCATAAGATTGCTGAGGTTCCCCATCTTTGAGAAGTAGCTGAAATTAACATTCTGAGTTTACATTAGATCTATGCTGCTTCATTTTGAGGGATGGGATTTATCTATTCTTGGGCTTCCCTGGTGGCTCAGATGGTAAAGAATCTGCCTGCAATGCAGAAGACCCAGGTTCAATCCCTGGGTGAGGAAGATCCCCTGGAGAAGGGAACAGCAGTCCAGTCCAGTATCCTTGCCTGGAGAATTCCAAGGACAGAGGAGCCTGGCGGGCTACAGTCCATGGGATCACAAAGAGTTGGACACAGCTGAGCGACTAAAACTTTCACTTATCTCTTCTTATTTTATTGAAATTCATTTATTTACAATATTTTGTTGGTTTCAGGTGTCCAGCAATGTGATTCAGTTATAATTAGATAAGATATACTATAAGATACTGAATATAGTTCCCTATTGAAAGTGAAGTCATTCAGTCGTGTTCGGCTCTCTGGGACCCCACGGACTCTAGCCTACCAGGCAACTCCATCTACGGGATTTTCCAGGCAAGAGTACTGGAGTGGGTTGCCATGGCCTTCTCCAATAGTTCCCTATGTTATTCAGTAAATCCTTGTTGGTGATCTGTTTTATGTGTAGCTTCTTCATTTTTAGTAAGGTAAGATTCACACACTTTGGCATAAGTAGAACTAGTAAGCCTGGCTGTAAGAAACATCTTACCCCGAAACTGTACCAATTTGCTGCTTAATATTGCTGTGGTGGCTGAGTATGACCCTAATTATCCTGCTCTGAGAGAGATACTAAGATCTCCTCCCTGTGTTGACAGGATGCTTTAAAAGGCTCTTGAACTGAGGGAGATTTCTGCTCAAAACTGTGAAAAAAAAAATAAAGAATCTCTGACATAGGACAAAGACTGAAATACCTTGTGGCTGGGAATGCTTAGCCAGGGCATCAAAGGCGGGCAGGACATCAAACTTTACCCCTTGGCAGAACTGGGGGGACCTGAGCACGAAGCTGAGAGCACACAACCTCCTCCTTCGCCGCTTCTGGACCTTAAACTCCACTTCAAATGTTTCCTCTTCTTGACAGGCTTCTAACTGTCTCCTGATTTCCTTGATGAATCTTACTCGGTGCTTAAAGTTCTCCTGAAAACTTGTGAAACTGGTGAGGAAGACAACGAGGTCCTTGAGGGCCGTGCCTTTGCCTGAGGAGCCGCCCCAAATGAGAACTGACGTTTATCATTGAGAAGATCCTCCCTAAATAAAATGTTGAGAACAATCACTAACATTTTGAGTGCTAGCCACTGCTCTGAAGGCATCAGCAGCTGTAACTCCTGGAATGCTCACAAGAACTCTGGGATCTAGCTACTGTTATTATCTGTTGTCATCTTCCGGATGGCGAAACAGATGCTGAGAGATCATGTATCAGTCCAGTCACACAGCTAGTAGGTGACAGAGATGCAGTTCACACCCTGGTTGTCTTTCTCTAAAATCTGTGCTCTTTACATCTTGTAATTTATGACCTTATATGATTAATACTGTAAACCGGCCCATGGCTGACTTTACTTGATCTGCAAGCCTGATGAGGTGCTGAAAATTCTGGATAAGGAAACTGAGGCACAAAGAGGTTAAGTGACTTGCCCAAGATTTCACAGCCAGCAGGTGCTATCTGCTTTCAAAACATATACTCTTAACCAACTCGAGACTCTGCAGAAATGGTGAGATTCCAACCTGGTCAAAGACTGTAGATACTGCCAGGATTCAGATTGCCTAGATTCGTGACCTAGGTGGTTTATACACTTCCCCAGGGAATTTGTTAAAAACTTACAGATGGATTCCCTCTCCCCAGAAGTTATTTTCACAGATGTGGTTACAGTTCCGGCATGGATAAATCAGAACCAGCCCCAGAGACCTCAGCCTCTTTCTCTCTGACTGTCCCTGTGCAAACACTTGCAAACCAGCCCCCCTTCTCCCCAGCCAGGCAGTTCTGGACTCACCTTCACAACTTTGGACACTCGAACTCGGTGAGGGGCACATCGGAAACACCTCTCCTTCAGGAAAGTGCAGATGATGTCAGTGGCTTCATTGACCTGCTTTCGGAACTCCTTGTGTGGCAGGAGGTGATCTTTGATGAACTCGTCCAGTTTGTTGGCTTGGCTTTTTCTGAGTTTCTTCATGATGCTCAGGCAGGAAGGGGCAGGAGAACCAGTGGAGGGAGGCAGAACTGATAGCCTAAACCTGTTAGCGTCTGTCTTTTCTGCTGCCTGGGACTAGGCTGCTGTGAGTTTCGTTTCCTTGAAAAAGGTGGAGCCTTGCGGGAGTCTGGGCAATCATTGCTTTCATTTCTTCAGAAGGGAGGAGCCATACCATTGTTCTTTGCATTGAAGAAATTAAGCACCTCTTTGATCCTGACATTTGTCTCCCACCTTTCTCTTGCTTTCTGAGACTTTCTGTTTTTAACCAGCCCGCTAGACAGCAGTCCCCAACTTTTTTGGCACCAGGGATGGATTCTTAGAAGAAGATATATGAATTCTTGCAGGGCATTCAGGCAGCAATGTGAAAAATGGGGAGCCCCAATGAAGCTTTGCATGATTGCCAGCCAGTTGCTTCCTGCTGTGTGGCTTTGTGTGGCTTTGTTAGGGGAAGCATGCTGATTGAAACCGCCAGGCACCATAGTAACCATTTGCATGAGCTGTTTTATGACAGGAGATCCTGATAAGGAATACGGAACTAATAAGCCACCACCCATTGAAACATGTAAATTATCATATGTGAAACGAATTGTCAATCCGGGTTCGATGCATGATACAGGATGCTCGGGGCTGGTGAGCTGGGATGACCCAGAGGGATGGGATGGGGAGGGAGTTGGAAGTGGGGTACAGGATGGGGAACACACATACACCCATGGCGGGTCCAAGTCAATGTATGGCAAAACCAATACAATGTTGTGAAGTAAACAAAGAATTTTTTTAAAAAAAGAAAGAAAAGAAAGATTCTATCCCCCAAAAAAACCAAAAATAAAAACAAAAAAATAAGCCACCACCAACCAGAAGAGTTCTGGAAAGGTCGAAGGTAGACACTCTATGTCCATCCACTTCCCAGAATCCCTAGCATCCATCTTGGCTGAGCGATGCGTGCGCCACCAGGAAAGAATCTGAATTAGAATGATTGGCCAAAGACCACCCAGAAACTAATCCCATCACCATAAAAGCCGAGACTGCGAGCCACGTGGCAGAGCAGTTCTCCTGGGTTCCCTTAGCCTACTGCTGTCCACCCGGGTGCCTTTCCCCAATATAATCTCTTGCTTTGTCAGCACATGTGTCTCCTCGGACAACTCATTTCCGAGTGTTAGACAAGAGCCCAGTTTCGGGCCCTGGAAGAGGTCCCCCTTTCTGCAACAGCCTGGTTGGGACCCCTGCCCTAGAGCATTAGGCCTTTCTTCAGACTGTTCTGAAAATGTTGCTTTTTAAACCCAGGTTAGTACCTCACCCAAGAGAAATTGTAAGTAAAAACAATTTGGGGAGCTTTCCTTTGTCTTTTTGGTTGCCTACCAAACTGTTTTATAGTCTCCTATGATCTTTGCTGGAGAAGGAAATGGCAACCCACTCCAGTACTCTTGCCTGGAAAATCCCATGGATGGAAGAGCTTGGTAGGCTACAGTCCGTGGGGTTGCAAAGAGTCCGACAAGACTGAACGACTTCACCTTCATGATCTTTGCAGCACTACCTGCATATTTCAAAAAGAAAAATGCCAGGAAAATAAGAGAGTGTAAAGGCCATCTAGGATCCCAAACCTCAAGAACTACATCTATAAGCATTCTGGTGTAGATATTTTCAGATATTTTTTTTTTTCCTAGGTTAATGGGCAATTGTGTGTCTCTTTTTTCTAAATGATGTTGTCCTGTTCGTCCCCCCTTTTTGATTAATAGACTTTATTTCCTAAAGAAGCTTCAGGTTTATAGAAAAATTGAGTATAAGTACAGAGTTCACTTATGTCCCCATCATTTCCCCTATTTTCGACTTTGGTGTGGTAAGATGAATTGATACTGATATGTGAAATGTTGTTGCTGAACCTCGAAAGACACTGGGATTCTTGGCCCCCGGAGGAGAAGAATTCAATCCAGGGCCAGGGATGAGGCTTGATTGCTCAGAGCTTTTGTGCAATAAAGTTTTATTAAAGTATAAAAGAGATAGGGAAAGCTTCTGACATAGACATCAGAAGTGGGCAGGAAGAGTGCCCCCTTCCTAGTCTTTAGCCAGGTATTATATAGCTACTAGCAGTCTGCTAATTGAAGAAAGGAAAGGTCTCAAAACTCAGAGAATGGCACCAGGCCCCTCACCCACAACATGCACTTTGAGATAACCTTGGCACCAGGGGAGTCATCCGGGCCATAAATCTTGAAGAAAGGCAGATTTCCATACAAATATATACTTTCATTAACACAGATTAGGAGAACAATGTATGAGTATAACATATTGGTTTGTCAAGTTGGTTTGAGCCTTGGGGTAAATGCATAGCACATTAACATAGCTTAGATAAACATTTCCATAAGAAAAATGCATTGGTTAATTCAAGGTTTGAGAGAAGTTAAGTTCAGGTGGAAAGTGAAAGTGAAGTCGCTCAGTCGTGCCCGACTCTCTGCAACCCCATGGACTATATATATAGCCCACCAGGCTCCTCCGCTCCAGTATTCCTGCCTAGAGACTCCCATGGACGGAGGAGTTCAGGTGGAACCAGGTGTCATTATGGCAATACAGAATTTTAAGAAAAACCTCTTTTTAAATTTGTATGTTATAGCCACGCATTCTGGGAAACAAACTCACTCAGAAGGACAATGCAGATAGTGGAGTGCAGTTTATTACACCAGCAGAGTCTCCTCTTAATACAGAGTCTCCTCTTAGCCAAGGACCCCAGCCAACTTTTGTGAAAACCTTATATACCTTAAGTGTACTGCTTAAGCCCACTTCCCCAAATTCCTTAAACCTAGCCTGGAAAGTGTTAAAGGGAGATACAATCAGGTTACAGCCATGATCCATAATCAGAAGGGTCAGCTGGTTATACACTGTAGCCTATACCAACGGGGGCCATAAAGATTACAAAGATGATTGACTGCATAGGGGTTATTACATTCTTTTTGGCAATGGGAAATCTTGGTATGGAATCTGGTGTGTATCAGTCCAGGCGGCCAGTTCAGCTGTAGGTATGTTATCCCCATGGCTACCAGGCACATGGTCCAAAGTTCACTGAAAGTGCAAGATGGAGTTTCCTTCTTTTTCAAGATGGAGCCAGCTCAGCCTGTTCCTTTTGTCAGGCGAGTGTATGCTCCTCAGTTCTTTGTCTCATCACAACAAAGATTTGGAGTGACAGACACTCACGCCCCTCGGGGTGTCACAGCTCTCGGGTCTTGGACAGACCATGTTATAGCTCTCAGGTCTCGAATGGACCGTGTTATAGCTCTTAGACAAATCAATGTTACAGCTCTATTTTATTTAGAAGATAGCAGGAAAATCCATCTTCAAGGTATGAGGGCACGTTGATCCAAAGACGTGAAGCAAAGAGACTCCCAACACGCAGGGGAGAGAGCGAGAGCTAGCTTTGGCTCCTCTATTTATATGTTTCTCTCTCCCTGGGCCTGTCCTATGTAAACTGGGCCAGTCAGGAGTGCTGTTTGTTTTACCTGAGGTCCTCACTCCGGTCCTCGGACCTTCCTTTGTTATATTTTCATGGGCTTTTCCCTTCCAGGTCTTTTAGCCACCACCATTCTGGACTCATTTTTCTTATTCTAACTACCTAACATTTTCCTCCCTCAGTATAGAGAAGGGGAAAATATATAACACTAGTTTGTTTCCTCCTGACGCTTTAGAGAGAGGTGAAAAATGTTTGACACTTGCAGCCTATTTCCTCCATTTGGAGACCCCCGGCCTTCCTGTCTATTACCCTCTCACATGTTATTATTAAACAAAGCTCAAAGTTTACTCTACAGTTCACTCTGTTGTACATTTTATGACTTTGCCCAAATCATAATGTCTTATCTCCACTAATTATGAAATCACCCCAGAATGTTTTCACCTCTTGCTCCACCAACTCATCTCTCTCTGAGTTTAGATGTTTCTCTTCTTCTAATATATGTATTTAGTGCTAAAAGTTTTCCTCTAAGGGCTGCTTTCACTGCATCTCAAGATTTTAATTGGTTGTTTTTTTTCTTTTCCTTGAGTGCAAAATATTTTTTCCATGTCTGTTAGACTTTTGGACCCATATGTTAATTAATCTTCAAAGATGCTGGAATTCTCCAAGTATCTTTCTTTTCTTCATTTCTTGTTTAATTCTGTTGTGGTAGACAGCATACAAGGTATGCTGTCTATTCTTCTGAATCTGTTAAGGTGCATTCTATGGGCCCAACAGTGGTCTTTCTTGGTGAATGTCCCACATGAGCTTGAGAAACATGTGTATTTGACTGTTGTTGGGTAAAGCGGTCTATAAGTGCCAATTAGCTATCTTTCTGAATCACCCTTGTCTTAACCAGCTCATCAATTGACACTCCCCACTTCTTCTGTGTAACATATTGACTTATGCCTAAGACATGTGGAACCATAAAGGGGATGGGTATCCATCTATGTAACACTCTGTACATACATTCGGAATATATGTTTATCAGAGATTGTTTGCTCCCAAATGACTTTTGGGCAATCATACATATTAATGAAATATATACTTTTGACAAAATATATGTAAACAAATCCTTGTTGTTGTTCAGTCACTAAGTCATGTCTGACTCTTTGTGACCCCAGGGACCGCAGCATGCCAGGCTTCCCTGTCCTTCACTATCTCCCGGAGTTTGCTCAGACTCATGTCTATTGAGTCAGTGATGCCCCGAGTGCAAAAGAGATCTGTCCTTAGAAAACCAGCACTGAATTCTTTGGTGAGATGTAATAAAGCCAAGTTCCCTGAAACACTGCGTAGAGTTAAGTACGAGGGAGACAACTGTGAAAGGACTGAGGGCATAGTTGGAAAAGTCCAGAATTAAGACCTCACGCTTTCGCACGTGGCTTTGTGTCCTTGTTTCCTTTAAA